TATATACCTGTGTATATATATAATTGGTTTGTGTGTTGTGTGTCCCTTAGGTGTGGGCAGCAATCCCACCTTGGAAGCAGGGCAGCTTGGCAGAGTTTGTGGTGCTAAGTGGCAACGAGGTATGGTACAATTTAAAGCCTTAAATGTTGTTTTGAGTTTGCTTGGTGTAAAAGTCTCAAATTGATGTTTAGAGTGGTTAATTAACTGCTGTCTGTTGTGGGTTGAATTTCTTGTTATWGTTTGTGGTTTGCTTTAGTAGATTCGCCAACATGAAATGTCAGCATTACAAAGCCAACCTAGTCACCGTTATTTCTCATCAAAGCATTCCAAAATGAGGGAGCATAAATGTGAAATTCAGCTAGCTAACGTCTCACTGACAGAGGAAGTGGACATGAAGATGACGAAGAGCTGCTCAACTAACGGCCGCTGTTCTTAACGTTGTTGTGCCCAGATATCCCACAAACCCAAGTCGCTGAGCCACGTAAAGGCAGCAGCCATTCCTTACGTGGCAACCACTTCCTGGTCAGCGCTGGTTAACACTGGAGGACTCACTAAAGACAAATGTGCCGGCAAACGGTGAGAAAGCACAAGTCATGCAAAAATACTTCCTTACTGCTGATCCCAGTCTAAGCTGTGGTGTTTCTGAGTCCATTAAAGGCTTTTGGGGAATGTTTTCTGGTTCTCTAGCATTAGATCCAATCCTCCAACGCACTTCAGTTTTTATTCGACACACTTCAAAGTAGTTCTGAATTAATTCAAGCTCCCAATAAAACACACATCAGGGACAAACATCTTTGCTTTTTTTTTTTTTTCCTCTACAGGATTTTGATACTTGGAGGATCAGGAGGAGTGGGGACATTTGCAATACAGGTATGCTTACCAACTACTATGTGGTGGTTTTCATTCTCCGCTGGCTCGCTGCTGTGTAATCATAAATCCCTCTAAAAAAATTAGAATGGACCAGTCTGGAAGCTGGTGAAGCGCYTCGTTTGGATTTAAAGAGACAGCCTCAAAATGAGTTGATCTGAGACATAGCTCAGAAAAGGGATGAAAGAGGGGCTTGTAGAGTTACAATAAGGAGGCATTGCAGTTCCACTTTATATAGACCCCAACTGAATAATTTAAATGTGAAAAAGAAGGATTTAAAAGCATATGTCTCTGTTAAGTTTTCACAGAATGAAACGCAATAAGAAAAAAATCTTGAGGTTAGTTGACAGCAAGGTCCCACTTATAAAGGCATTTATTAACTGATCTAAACTTAAGGATATCTCATAAAAGATAACTTTTTGTCCTTTTTCTGCTCTTGAATTTTTAAGTGTGTCTTCAAAATACAAAGGCTAATAATTTTAAACACAGCAGCATCTGTACTTCAGAATTTCTGAATAAAGAATGATTGTGTGGCAGTAGCCTTGTCAAAGTTGAGCTTTCAGAATGATTGAYGTATTGTGATGCAGTTGTGTGAAAACAAATCTAAAAATATTCACGCTGATGTGAGACTGATAAGATTTTACAGAAGATGATGAGCTATTGCTGCTAAATGTGGTTTCATAAGCCCTTTAGTCACAAGGTGCGCTTTGTTTTTTGTCATTTGTTGTTGATCTGAGATAATGTTAGGTCATCATATCTACTTTACTTTACTTTACTTTACTTTACTTTATGTTATGTTAGTTACATTATTCTATGCTAGGCTAAGTTACTTTACGTTACGATATGTTACGTTACTTTACTGATGTTAGTTACATTACCCTGTACTAGGCTATGCTAGGCTGTTACTTTACGATACGTTCCATTACTTTACTTTACGTTATGTTACATTACACTATGCTAGGCTAAGTTACTTTACGTTACGATACGTTACGTTACTTTACTTTACGTTATGTTAGTTACATTACGCTATGCTAGGCTAAGTTACTTTACGTAATGTTACTTTACGTTATGTTAGTTATGTTACGCTATGCTATGCTACTGTAGGAAACAATACRTCGTTCAAAATGGTATGTCTGAATAAACAGTGATCCAAYTGGATTTCTTCTTAAAAACTTTATTCTCAATCTTCTGACTCCACTCAGGAACAGCACTCAGCAGGCCTCAGCATAAGACCTKGGGCTGAAAAACAAAACAAAACACAGGAGCTCTTCTCTGAGCAGAGACTCTGCAACACACTAACAACTTCTTTCTACTACAATAATGAATTGACCTTGTAATGTACATCTSTTCCTGGTTACACCCCTGGAGGTGTTACCTTTTACGTCAGACRTCAGAACGTAACTCATTTTTGTTTAGGCTAAAGCAAGAACACATGATAAGACACACACCAACTCTCATTCTGTTTTGGCCTTAAAGGCTGCATTGATCAGAAAGTATAAAATACAATACTACATCTAACATTCAGTTAATCAGTTACAAAATTTCCTTTACYACGCTAGGCTAAGTTACTTTATGTTACATTAYGTTATTTTACTTTACGTTATGTTAGTTACGTTACGCTACATTAGGCTAAGTTACTTTACGTTATGTTACATCATGTTACTGTACGTTATGTTAGTTACGTTACGCTAGGCTAAGTTACTTTATGTTACATTACGTTATTTTACTTTATGTTATGTTAGTTACGTTACGCTACATTAGGCTAAGTTACTTTACATTATGTTACGTCATGTTACTTTACATTGTTAGTTACGTTACGCTAGGCTAAGTTACTTCACGTTATGTTACGTCATGTTACTTAACGTTACTTTACTTTGTTATGTTAGTTACGTTACGCTAGGCTAAGTTACTTTACGTTGTGTTACGTCATGTTACTTTACGTTACTTTATGTTATATGTTAGTTAGTTACGCTATGCTGGTCTATGCTATGCTAGGCTAAGCTACTTTACTTTACATGCAATGACGCATTTAGAATGAAAGCCACATAACAAGCCTTCAGCGTGAACACAGACGCTCCTATTTGAGGACTGAACTTGTGTCCAGATGTTGAAGGCCTGGGGAGCCCACGTGACAGTTACCTGCTCCCACAATGCCGAGCGGTTTGTGAGGGAACTCGGAGCGGACCACGTGGTGGACTACACTGCTGGACCTGTCGAAGAGCCGCTCAGTGMACTGGAGAAGTAAGAGACAAACACAAATAAGAGCAATTACAGCCGCAGCTTCAGTTTGATTACCGTGAGAAAACTCTGATATAGTTCTTATTTCTACCTAATCAACTTTTCCATCTTTTTTTATTTATTTTTTTTTATTTTTTGCATCCAGTCCCTCTTATCAATTTCTCTCTGCTTATGTTTCTTGCGCACTCCAGATTTGACCTGATCCTGGATAACGTAGGAGGGGACACAGARCGATGGGCTCTCAGCCTGCTTAAACCTTGGACAGGAGCCAAATATGTCACCCTTGTGACACCGTTTATGCAGAACACTGACAGGCTGGGTGTATCTGACGGCATGATGAAGACAGCTGTTACAGTCGCCACTAAAGTCATCAAGGTAATAATGGGGGGGGGGGGGTTGAAACAGCTGACATGAAATCAAGCTTCACCCATAAAAAAGCAAGGGTTTGTTAATGTTGCTGTTTGATGCATTTACTTTTGCATTTACAGAAAAAAAATGTTTTAATGTTTTTTTACTGCACAAATTCAAAATATACAATGCAATAACYACACAAAAACACAACTAGTGACTGGTGGTTATAAAAACTCTATATCAGTGTAATTTTTTCAGTTCGAAGTTCATTATCTGTACCTACCAGATTTGTTTTCATGTCTAAGACTAATTTTAGTATTTGTTGTATGTAAATGTGATCGTGTATGCAAATCTATATGT